GAGCAAGACTGCCAGGCTAAAGATGATAGAACCATTTCCTCAATCTATTGAATGAAATAAATCAATAAACACCATATATGGACAAAATACCATGACATGTACTATAGTACAGGGACATAGGCAACTTTAAAAATTCATAAAAATTCCAATTTTAATCGGAATCAGCTCAAATTTTCTACGAAGCATAAGTATATGTATATGTATCAGGAAAAATTATAAAAATGAAGAATTCTCTCCTAGTCATTTTTGGTGAAATTTGGCCCGTGACCCTGTACTATAGTACGGGGACTTTTGTCCGATTTTGGAGTAACTTTAAAAATTTGTAAAAAATCCAATTTTGATCAGAATCAGCTCAAACTTTCTACGCAACATAAGTACATGTATATGCATCAGGAAATGTAATAAAAATTGAGAATTCTCTACTTTTCATTTTTGGCGAAATTTGGCTCGTGACTCTGTACTATATAGTACAGGGACTTTTGTCTGATTTTAGAGTAAATTAAATAATTCGTAAAAAATCTAATTTTAATCAGAATCAGCTCAAACAACATAAGTACATGTATATGCATCAGGAAATGTAATAAAAATTGAGAATTCTCTACTTTTCATTTTTGGCGAAATTTGGCTCGTGACTCTGTACTATAGTACAGGGACTTTTGCCCGATTTCGGAGCAACTTTAAAAATTTGTAAAAAATCCAATTTTAATCGGAATCAGCTCAAACAACATAAGTACATGTATATGCATCAGGAAATGTAATAAAAATTGAGAATTCTCTACTTTTCATTTTTGGCGAAATTTGGCTCGTGACTCTGTACTATAGTACAGGGACTTTTGCCCGATTTTGGAGCAACTTTAAAAATTTGTAAAAAATATAATTTTGATCAGAATCAGCTCAAACTTTCTAGTTTCTATGCAACATAAGTACATGTATATGTATCAGAAAATGTAATAAAAACAGAGAATTCTCTACTTTTCATTTTTGGCGAAATTTGGCTTGTGACCCTGTACTATAGTACAGGGACTTTCACCCAATTTTTGAGCAACTTTAAAAATTTGTAAAAATTCCAATTTTGATTGGAATCAGCTCAAACTTTCTACACAACATAAGTACATGTATATGCATCAGAAAATGTAATAAAAATCAAGAATTCTTTCCTAGTCATTTTTGTTAAAATTTGGCTCGTGACCCTGTACTACATATACAGGGACTTTTGTCCGATTTTAAAGTAACTTTAAAAATTTGTAAAAAATCTAATTTTAATCGGAATCAGCTCAAACTTTCTATGCAACATAAGAACATGTATATGCATCAGGAAATGTAATAAAAACAGAGAATTCTCTCCTAGTCATTGTTGATGGAGTACCCTACACTACCCAGCACAGACTATCAGTATATGTACTGAACATGGTTCCTTTACTTTGCTCAAATGCTTCACAATAGCCCGAGGGAAGGACGGCTCCACTGTTAATAATAACCTCAATAACCTGGAGGAGGGAAATATTAAAAAGACGTATTATCAATTAATTAATTAACATGTCACCGTAGCAACCAGTGGGGGCTTACTTTATAAAAATGATAACAATGAATATCAATAACTGATAGTATCCATGGAAACACTCTATGAATAATAATTTATTTATTATTATTATTATTATTATTATTATTATTATTATTACCTGCTGTGTGAACTGTACGAAAATAAGACCATTTCTGCTGACAGTGCAAAAAGTGACTTATGAAAATAATCGTGTTCCAACATTAACTGAAAAATAATAAAATAAAATGGAGCACCTGGAACTAAAAACAAGGTTTCCCTCCAAAAATACAAGTACAGGTAATATGAGACTATAATTGACAAAAGGTACCTTATGGCGGATAATAAAATTCATCTTTATAGTGGACAAAAAACAAACTTTCTGTGCTTCAATGATAAACATATTTTAGCACAGAATGCAAAAAGTTACTATGTAACTTTAGCAAACAATGCTTCTTTAAGAAAACACTCTCAAACTGATATTTTTACGGGAAATTTTGATTTGGCAAATTAGTGGCCACGTGCCATTGAGCATGTGTATAAAGGCTCAAAATGGTGGATTTTATTTTGGCGAATGGCTATCAAAATGCCAAATTCGCCAAATTTAATTCCCTCCAAAATTTCCCACTTCACAGTATAATGATGAATTTAGTAATCCACCAAAAGGTATCATGTATCTTTTGTCAATTATAGTCAGGCCACATTTACAAAGCAACTAAAACAATGCAATCTGTATAGTTTTGTGCCTGTTTTATGCTTCCGTTTACACAGAAACGAATGAAAACATGATAGAATCTTGATAGGACTCTATTGAAACTAAAACAGTGTTCAAAGTGGATACTTTAAAACCGATGCGGTTTGTGTTGCTGTGTAAACTTAGCCTCAGATATAATTATGTGACTGTCACATGATCACTGACCTGTATTGACAGCTGCTTGTTGGTTGATAGTTTTTGCTTCTTCTCCTCATCAGTGATAATTAACGTTAATAACTTGTAATATAATGACTTAGTGAGCTGGAGACGGACAAGAGCAAAGTTATCAGGAGATTCAAATAAATCCTAAAAAATAAAAAGAAATTAATCTTGTACACATGTAACGTACATGTAGTTTATGTACATGTATCAATAATACATGTACATGTATTAATTTTAAAATCTACAAAAGTACCCCCTGGTGATTATTATAATTTTCAACCCCCTCCCCCCAGGGAAATAATACCCATTATATACATGTACATGTACAATACATGACGTGTGTACATGTACATGGACTCACTGATTTGAAAGATGATAAGAATGAAGAACTCATCAGGTCAACACGACACATGATACTCTTAATTGGATCAGATACACAAGAACTAATGGAGGGAGAGAGAGAGAGAGAGGGAGAGAGAGAGAGAGAGAGAGAGGGAGAGAGAGAGAGAGAGAGAGGGAGAGAGAGAGAGAGAGAGAGAGGGAGAGAGAGAGAGAGAGAGGGAGAGAGAGGGAGAGAGAGATGGTTAATTGGTTAATATATTAAGGTTAACTAGAAGAATGTAAAACAATTGAAGGAGGCTCGGCCCCTAAGCCACTCTATTAATGTACTGTATGGTCTTCCTTGATACTAGAGAAGTTTTTGGACAGCAGTTTAGTCTTATCTTGCTGACCGTTTGCTCCAAATAAGCTCAGACTTACTGATAGCCGCCATTTTATTCATTGTGACTACACCCACTTTTAATTAAGATTATAGGCTATTTAACTTTAATAATAGTTAGACGGTCCTATCTGCATTATCTTTGCAGGGTTAACTGGTTAATATATTAAGGTTAATAGACTATTAATATACCTGCATGTGTTATAGATGATGTCAGTTGGTTCTGGTAGTGATTCTTCTAATAATAAATGTAACTGTATCACTGATTGATTAGCATCTGATACTGGAGTCAACCTAATCACAATAATGGAGGGAAATCACCACCTGCTAATACTGTATAGTGGGAAATTTTCAAGGGCTGTAAATTTTGCAAATTTGCCTAAAAATCTATGTTGAATCATCTTGTACTGTAATAATTTGATTTTTCACAGAAGCAATTTCTGCAAATCTTCAAAAAATCGCAAAATTGACAGTCTTCAAAGATACATTATGTGTTGTACATGTAAAGTCTCGGTCATTTTGTCCTGCTTTATGCTGATCTGTTTTTATCGTAAAACTGAGACTTTTAGTGAGAGATACTAGTGTTGTTGTTGTTTACAGTTTTGTTTACTTGTTTTCTCTTGTTGATAAATATTCTCTTCCACTTAACGGAGTACCATACTGCAAATACTGGGGGGACTAACAACAACAATAAACAATAACAACAACAATAAATAATAATAACAACAATAAATAGTAATAACAACAATAACGTATTAATAATTACTTGATAAATAACACCAATGGGCTCCAATCTAAAGAAAAGAAAAAGAATAGAAATGATAT